TAAACCATCCTAAACCCCTAAACCCTCCCTTAAAACCGAGCGGCTCTGGAGAGATCCGGCCTTGTGCGTGGAGGAGTCCGATTGGGCTAAGCAGCCGGACATCCAAGGCTTTCTGGAGCCTCCCCAGTCACCGCTGAAGTGGAGGCTTGCCTCGTTGTCCCCCGGCTTAGGCAACTTTAGGACTCTAGGGCCCTAAACCCTAAACCCTGAACCCTAAACCCAAAGCCCTAAACCCCTAAAAGGCTTAGGGGTTGGCACCTTTTGGGGCCTAGGGTTTGTAGGGCCCAGGGATTCCTGGGCTTGAGGCTTTAGGATTTTGGCCTCATAGGGCTTTTGGATTTAGGGCGGAGGGCTCTTGGGCTTTGGGCGTTGGCTTCAGGGATTGGCGGTTGGGGGGTTTAGGCTTTAGTTTAGGGTTTAGGGTTTTGGGTTCAGGGTTTAGTTTAGGGTCTAGGGTTTCGGGTTTAGGGTGTAGGGGTTTAGGGCCGTTCTGCCAGGTACTGCTGTCGCAGAAAGCCATCTTGGCTGGGCCTAAGCCTGAATCCTCAGGAGCCTTCGCCCCACTTTCTTTGGGTTGGTCTCCAAATCAGGGCCCCTCCTATTTAGGTCCCCCAAAAGTTTAGGGAACTACCGATTTGTTGTAGCGATACGACTGAAAAAAGTGGCGGTGATAGTAACTAGTAGCTAATAATGACATTTCTAGTAATCGTGATAGCACTGGGCACTGGAAATGGACATAGCACTCATAACAATGACGATATACATTGCGATGTACTTCCTTTTTCGCATAACCAAGGGCCCATGCTGTGGCCGCAACTCCCACACTCTACATGACACCCAAAGCACAACGGGCAACCGGCATTCGCCAAGCTGAAAGAAGAGCCCACACAACTGGGGTTTAGGCTTAAAGCTCGGACTCGGGCCATGAGCCTCAGGATTCGTGGGGTTGGGGTTTAGGGTTTAGTTTTTTTTCTTGACGGGCCCTTTTCCGACTGCAGATACAGTAGAGGGATGTAGAGGGGTTTAGGGTTTAGGGTTTGTGTACTTGAAGCATCACCGGCAGGGAGATCCATGCTTGACCGAACCGCAAGAACGGGCGCACCATAACACCTCGAAGCAACGACCCACACGCATCGAAGGAAGTCTAGCGAAATAGTTTTATTGTGGCGGCTGCTGCGATTCCTGCAGTGGGATGTTTGCCATGCTGTTAATGACGAACAAGTTGTCACTATGGCTACTGCTTGCGATTAATTTGGGCAGCGATGATGGCAGTAATGATTGCATACGGCTGCTGTCCTTCAGGATCATTTGGTAACTACATCCGGCATTCATGTCTCAGACTTCTTGGCATTCCCCCTGGTGATTCCAAGCTCACCGAGCTGCGAATTTCTCCGAGTCAAGGTCCCCCTTGCTGACGTCCCTGGTGAACTTATTGTAGGTATCTTCCATCTTGCCGCCCCAACAACCTACCATCGAGGACCGGTCGCAGGGTGGAAAAGCATAGTTCAGGAACTGCTGAATCCCCCCGTTGCTGCCGCTCCTTGCGAAATCTTGCTTCAAGAGCTGGCGCAGATGATGAAACTTCTCGTCTGAAGGCTCCAAGACAAACATGCCCCCGTTGAATTGCTCTGTGAGCCCAGCATCCGTTTTGGCCGAGAGCTCTCCGAAGCTATCAAGGACCGGATCATGAGTCTTCAGGGCAATTATATCAGCATCCATGTAAAGGACCTTTTTGTAGGGCAGCTGCCATGCACGTAGCTGGAGCGTGACGCAGTCAGCACCGTCCCTGGTGATGCTATCATGAGGCTTCACTGGCTCCTCTATGTACACCTTGTCGAAGACTGCAGCGAAAAGCTTTTGGTAGCGCCGTCCGACTGTATCCGTGACCATCAAGACAAGGTTTCGCGAAGTTCCAGCTGCTCGCAAGGAGGCGGCCAGTGCTAAAGCTCCCGGAGCCCAATCTTTCCCACAAACATGGGTGGCAATCGCCTCCCTGCTTGTCGACGTCTGCGCACCGTCAAGCAGGGTCAGCTGATACATATCTGCCGCAGCTGCCGAGTCGGCATCAGTGTTGTAGTCGAAACCGTGGCGCATGTAACTCCTCTGAACCAGGGATCCAGAGGCTGACACCTCTGTGAAAGCACGAGAGCGAGGGTGGTCCGGGAGGTCCCGATCAATTTGAGCAGAGCCCGACTCGCGCGACCAGCCCCAACTGAGGGGAATTGCCAGGATGGTCCACAACCATCTCTGCATACGAGTAAGGTGCTGTGAAAACCAACCCGGTGTGGGTCGGCGGTCCCTGCTAGTCTAGCATTCTAGCATCTCGGAGCAGAACAGCAGCAGCAGAGTCACGGAAGGTCGCGATCGTGGGAGCGGTGATGGCAGTGAAGGTGACGATCCTCGTGGTGGTGAGGATGCTGATGATGATGACGACGACGATGATGACGACGATGACGGTCACGACGGCGTTGGTGACGATGATGATGATGATGATGATGACGATGACGATGATAATGATGTGGGTCGAGGTGGGGTTGAGAAACGGAGATCCATGATGATAGTGAAGACAATGATCATGCAGACACAAACTACGAGCACCATGCTGCTACTGCACTGCCTTCGCTGATGTACGAAGTATGAGAATTCCAAGCAGGCGCATTGGCATTTTCCAACACAGGCTTCCCGACACGGCTCTCCCTTCCACTCTGGTCCAACGTGACTGTTCCCAGAGAGCCCAATACCCCTTAATTAAGGAATATACCTTAATTGTAGGGGCCTAAATATTATGATTTAAAGTATATTCCTTAATTAAGGGGTATCGGGCACTCTGGGTAGGCATTAGTTGGGAGCTTCTGCGTACTCGGATGTCGCTCCTTGATGCTCCGGGCCGGGTCGTTCCTGTGGCCTCGTCCACAACGAGCTTCTAGCGCTCCAGCAGTCCCTTTGCTCACCGAATCCACCTCCTAGCCGTCCATGATCTTGCAGAACTCCTGCGGAGACTGAGTTCAGGGTTCTATAGGGTATCTAAAAAACCACCAAAAAAAGCCATGAGATAGTTCGTCAGAATCTACGCTGGCGGGGCCGATCCCTGAAGTTCATCTTTCCGTCGCCATCTTTGTCGATTCGCCCGAGAACTTTCTTCACCTCATCTGGGGTTTAGGGCTTATAGGGTTCAGGCGACTCCGGACGGCTGCAGATTTCTGAATCAATTCGGCCTGCTGAGCTGCAGGCTTCATCGGGCTCCATCGGTTCTGGCCCCTTGGTACTGAGAGCCACAATCCTCAGCGCTGCTCACGTTGTCTCATCATGGGCCACATTCTTGATCGTAGTGGGGGCAATGAACAGGATAAGGACGCAAGCAGGTATCTCGGACATCTGTGTCCCTGAAGCCTGAACCTGTCTTAGACCATATCCGGCTGTCGTCCGCAGGTTGCAGTAATGCCCGAAACCCTATAAGCCTAGTTATATATATATATATATATATCGGCGACCCTAAACCTACATGCACAAAAAAACCTCCATCCCGTGCCCTGAATGAATCTCAAAGCCGAACCTTGTGTGCAGAAAATCCGAAATCCCTAAACCCTAAACCCCTAAACCCTACACCCTAAACCCCTAAACCCTAAGCCCTAAACCCTGAACCCTAAACCCTACGAAATCCCGAAAATGAAGACCCACTGGGCATCCGGCAGCTCACGGGAGCTGATGAAGCCGCTGCCGTCGACTGCAACGGGGATTTAGTTTCAAGAGTTTAGGGTTTAGGGTTTTGGGGTTCAGGGTTTAGGGTTTCGGGGTTAGGGTTTAGGGTTTAGTTTAAAGCTGAATGACTTTTTGACTTTAGGATATTAGGGCTTAAGAGCTCAATGGTTTCCGGGAGTTTAAGCTGACTTAGGGCTTTGAGGGTTCAGGGTTTGGGAATCTCGATCAGCATTCCCAAAACAAAGAGCCACAGTCTCATAGCGGATTTGGATTTGCAGCGGTCATCGAATTCGAACTATTTGGAGGTACTTCTGGGATGCTTTGACTCATTAGGTTCATTAGATTTCGAGGTACGGAGAACAAATGACGATCTGTATATATCCGGCCCCCACGACGTGATGGATACCGTCGTTACTTCCCGACTGTCGTGAGCTTCTTGATCCTGAAAGCAATGCTTGTTTTGGCTACCATCACTGCCCGCGGTTTTCATGCTTCCGCTGCTGCTGCTGCTGCTGCTGCTGCCCATGATGGCGATGCCGATGATGGCGATGACAATGACGATGACGACGACGGTGATGATGATGATGATGGTGATGATGATCATGATGATGATGTTGATTATCAACATGGTGTTGATTATCAAGATGATGCTGCCGTTGAGGATGCGAATTCTGCTGATGTTGAGGACGGTGGTAGTGTCTGCAATTCGTTGATGCTATTCTGCGTCGTTGCTACCTGCATTCTTTGCCCCACTCCTCTACTATACTCCTCATCTTGCTGACGAAGACGAGCAATATCGGCAGCAGTGAGGCAGCTGAAGCAGTAACAGGAGCAAGATGGGGGTTTCCGAAAAGAGGGGACCCTAATATAGTACTCCAAAATAAGGTACCCCTTATTTTCGGAAACTCCCAGAACGATCGAAACTAGGGTTCCATCTCACGAGGCCCTGTTTGTAAAGTAGTTGGTGACAACAAGAGCGAACCTGAGAGCTGTGTTGTGCTGACGACAGACACGGTTGTAGGCATCCCTTTGTCTTGCATGTTGGAGGCACGAATCGGACGAACTTGAGGCCGCGACGGTCAATGGCTTCAAACCTAAGCTATGCACGTCACGTTGCAGTTGCGATGCCGAGCCCTTCATCCATGGTCAGTGCAGCCAAGGCACAGCTCGCGCATGTCTCGCTCGTACTCCTGTAAGCCGCTAGTGAAACTCCCAGATCCGTAGGTGTCAACAACAAATAACAACAAGTTGAGGTGCCATGCATCTTGCAATAATATTATATTATATTATATTCTATTATATTATATTATAAGGCTTCATCTCATGTTTTTGTGTTCTAGTCTATAGGTCCTCTGGAGATGGCGTCGGCGTCATGGCGATCCTGGCTTCGGTCAACATGTTCTTGCCGCAGATGCAGACTGCATCAACACCCACGCCGGCCGCACACTTGTGCCACGATGATCATGAACTCCTCGAAATCAAGATCGCCACTTCCATCGGCATCTGCCTAGTTCGCAGATGGGGCTCAGGACGAGAAGAAAACTCACATGGCACACAAGCGAGCACTGCCGACGGCTTCTGCAACCTGCCTGCTTGATGATGGCGTGGAGATCAGACTGGAACAATGCCAGCGCTTCTTGGAAACAGCACACAAGGAGGCACGTAGCGGCTGCGCCTTCGATGGGTTTAAACCGACTGCGCGGACCAGGTTGCCAATGTTCTTTCGCGTCAGCGCCTTGGCAACATGGACCACTAGAGCAGTGTGCGCTTCTCTGGCCTGAACCACCCGATTTTCTTCAGCAAGTTTCGAAGCATGCCCGGCAAGGCATGCGAAAGTGTATTGCGCAATGACCACGACGGCAACTGCCACTGAAACTGCTACTGCTCTCGCTACTGCTGTCACTGTTTTTGCTACTGCCGTTGCGACTAACTGCTACCACCACCATCACTACTACTGCTACTGCTACTGCTACTGCTCCTGCTCTGATACTGCTACTGCTACTGCTACTGCTGCTGCTGCTGCTGCTACTACTACTACTACCACCACTACTACTACTACGACGACGACGACTACTACTACTATTACTCCTACTACTACTGCTGCTGCTACTACTACTACTGCTACTGCTACTGCTACTGCTACTGCTACTGCTACTGCTGGTGCTGC